AGTGACCAAGATTGCATTTTTACTCCTATTCCAGACCCACCCAAATGCCTCCCATTTCTTGCCTCCTTCTACTCACCTTCCTCATCACCACTTCCACCTTGGGCTGTGTGGTTGGAGCTGTTGGGGTGAACTGGGGCACCATGGCTTCTCACCCCCTTCCACCCGTCAAGGTGGTGAAGCTCTTGAAGTCCAACAACATCAATAAAGTTAAGCTCTTTGATGCCAACTCTGATGTTCTTCAGTCTCTTTCTGGTTCCAACATTGCTGTTACTGTGGGCATTCCCAACGCTATGCTAAGAAGCTTGAACTCTTCCAAGAAAGCGGCGGATAGTTGGGTCCATGATAACGTTACCCGCTACATGCCTAATGGGGGCAGTGTAACTCGAATTGAGTGAGTCAAATTATTTCTTTGGTTCTTTTTGTTGCCCTTTTCGTACTGGTGTTTTGTTGTGTTTTTCTTCTTATTTTTGTTTTATATTTTTCATTTTGTTAAGTAATTTAATTCTAAATGCTCTGTTCTTTTTAATTGATTGATGATCATGGACATTCTAAAGGGGAGGTTTCGATTCCGTGTTTGTTATTGTGCCCATTTGATAGGTTCAGTGGTAAATTTTATACTAGGAGAAATAAATAAAGGAGGCAGTTTGTAACCTTGTAAAATAGACTATTATAATAGTCTGTGTTTAGGCTGTTGTTAGTTAGTTTTTGGAGTTTAGGAGGAAAAGGGTTGGGAGAGTTAAGGTCCTCTGAAAGATGTGTTTTGAGACATCTTGTGTTGTATCCCTGCCACATTGGCAGAACAGCTGAGTTCATAATAAAAGCATCCAAGAACCTGTCTTGGATCTTTCTGTATCTGCTGGGTGTCCTATCACCATTGATGAGACATTCTGAAGAGTGAAATAACATCAGTGTCTGGATAAGATAGGTTTTTATATTATAGAACGATTCCACAGGTGTCATGCTGCATGTTTTTATTTATAAACATACGAGGATTGTTATAAGCTCATAGCATAGAGGAAATGGAAATAAGTAACTAGAGAATGCAAGAATCTGTACTTGGACCATTGGGACTGTATACCAGGAGGAAACCAGGATAATACCAATTTTCTTGAATTTACTGCTTTTGTTAATGCCAATTTTTTGGTTCACTATATATTTGACCTTCACTTCCTGATATATTTCCACTTCAAGTATACTCGGATCCTAGAAGCAAATTGTCAAAGTTGTCTTGGTAGGTAGTCCATTCAAGCAAATAATAACAGGTGAATAACTATGATATGTTGCACTGCTTTGTTTATGCAGAAGACAGTGCAGCAGTTAGTGTTGTGCACAAAAAAATTGCATGTTATTTTAACCTCAGAAGATACTCCCTGAGTGTGGGATTTTGACAATAGCGCTTGTTTGGTAGAGGGAGAGAAGTAGGTGGGTAAAAAAGAAAAAAAAAAGGGAAATAGGTAAGAAATGGAGTATGTTTGAATTAAGAGAAATAAAGTGCAAACAAAATTGTATGATTGTTGGTTTGAGAGAAAAGAAAAAAAGAGAAATATGTTTTGAATAAAAATACCTTGTTACTCTTCCAACAATGCCTATTTTTTTCAAAACAATAGTAATATTTTTTTTCTTTTTAAAAATTAACACAGATCGTACTTCTAACATAACGCTTGCACATAGTTGATTATGCTTGCAAATATAATCTGTCATGTTTGATAACACAACAGATTATGCTTATGGTTGTAGGCATAGTCCATTATGCTAATCAATTATGCCAATAAACACAATCAGTTTTCACGCAAGGACATCACTGGATTGAATGTTGGAATAGTCATTTTGCCAGTTGCACAAGTAGCATATGAAAGTAAGATGGTATAATAAATGCACAATCATAATTTTGTCTCATTTCCGTGCATCCGAGAGAGTAATTTATTTTGTGTGGGGTCCACATGTTTTCCAAATTATTTTTTCGTTTCATTTCTTTTCTACCAAATAATGCTCTTTCTCTTCATTTTTTGCGTCATTTCTCATTTAACAACACAGTGCAAGGGTTTGTTTTTTTTGAAAAACATTACTGTTTTCTCAGTATTGCATGCAAGGAGAATGAAAAGCTAGTTTACAAACTTGCCTGTATAACGGTGCTGCATCCCTGAGAATGCTAATGCTGTAGATATCTAGTTCCTACTATGCCTTAATAATGTACAAATACATTAATTTGAATAAAATTTTAATAAGTACCTATTGAAGAGTAAACAAAATGAAAATAGTTCTTATATGGAAGTTAAATTAACTCATTTATCTCAACTTTTTCTTAAGTTCCCTCACAGAAGTTGAACTGAATCCAATTGTCCTCCATGGTTTTTTGTAACACTTGTTGTAATGGGTTTTGATTTCCAATTGTTCTTCAAGCTTTTAGGCTCTGCTTTGTTTCTGAGAAGGCAATTCAAGATCACCTTCTATTATATACGGCTCTTGCCCTGTAGTTGTAGAAGAAACATATTCTCCCTTCCATTGGTCACAGTAATATTAGTGGAATGTTTTAGAAGGTAAAATATAATCACATAATAGAATGCTCACCACTTGATAACAGAACCGATGCAGTTAAAAAAAGCCCCATTCTTGTTCTAGGGAACAATGTATTTTATGAAATTCACTTTTGGGGAAGATGGAATAACAATCTTGTCTCATGTTATCTTGGTTAGGATTTAATCAGCTAACAGAAATGGGAACTAGCTACTAAAGAAATTCATCTAGGAGGTATGCTTTAGCAGGAAGGTAGGTAGGGCCACTAAGCTGCAATGTTGGACCTATTTTTTTGAATTGCAACTCAAAGTTCAAATAAAATGAGTTATGCATGTGGTTCCCTCTTCGTATGGCTCTAAATATGACTTTTGCAGATATGTTGCAGTTGGTGATGAGCCTTTTCATAAAAGCTACGGTGAACAATTTCATCCCTTCTTAATTGGAGCTGCTATGAACATTCAAGCAGCTCTAAAGAAAGCAAAATTGGACAGCAAAGTGAAAGTTGTAGTTCCCTGCAGCTTTGACAGTTTTGAGACAGGATTTAACACGTCCTCAGAAGTGCATTTCAGGCCTGATGTCAACAAAACCATGACTGAGCTCCTCATGTTTCTTGGTAAACTAGGATCACCTTTCTTTGTGACCATTTCTCCGTTCATAACCCACCTTGAAACCAAAAACATTTCACTGGATTTTTCCCTCTTCAGAGAAACTGCACGCCCTCATAATTTTAGCCATAAAACATACAAAAACAGCTTTGATTTGAGCTATGATACAGTGGTTACTGCATTATCATCAGCAGGATATCCTAATATGGACATTGTTGTGGCAAAGATTGGCTGGCCAACCGATGGGGCTGCCAATGCAAGCTCAAACCTTGCTGAAACGTTCATTAAACGGCTCATAAACCACCTTCGTAGTAACTTGGGCACCCCACTTAGGCCACATAAGCCCCCTCTTGAAACATACATTTTGAGCCTTCTTGATGAAGATCAAAGGAGCATTGCTTCTGGAAACTTTGAAAGGCATTGGGGTTTGTTCACTTTCGATGGCCAAGCAAAGTACCATGTGGATCTTGGCCAAGGTTCAAGCAGCCTAGTGAATGCTCAAAATGTTGAGTATCTCTCTTCCAAGTGGTGTGTTGTGAACAATAATAAAGACCTGTCAAATGCAACTGCCAGTGCTTTAGAGGCTTGTGCAAATGCTGATTGCACTGCACTGTCTCCTGGTGGATCTTGCTTCAATATCAGTTGGCCTAGTAACATATCATATGCTTTTAATAGTTACTATCAGCAGCATGATCAGAGAGCTGAAAGCTGTGACTTTGCAGGTCTAGGTTTGATCACAACTGTTGATCCATCCATGGATCATTGCAGGTTTCCTATTGAGATTCGCATCTCTCATGCAGAATTTCACAGGCTGTGTAATTTCCAGTGGTTGATTTTGCTTCTTACAACCCTCTTGGCTGCAGCTTTTGTTGTTTGACATGGGTAAAAAAGAGGATCATTTTTGCATCCCTGCCTGCTGTAATTTTGTTGCAGATGTATATTGTTGAATCGAAAATGGTTAGCACATTTTCTTTAATTTACACATGCAGGTCAAATCTGAAGGATGCCACTTTTCTCTTTTACTCATTGCATACATTTCTTCTGATTAATCAATTTCATGTAGCTGATATGAGATTACCGTGTCCAGAAAGTGAGTGAAAGAATTATCACAAATCTTCATGATTTACAATGCATATGCAATTATGTTCTAACGCATACAAAACTTGGAAGCAGCAGGGACAAGGTGTCCATGATCACTATGCATAAAGGTGGGAGATGTTGTTGATTCAATTCTTCCCATTAATAAGAAAATCTAACAACACATAATCTGGGGAAGTGTTTGATCTTATGTTACAAGATAGAATTAATAAGAAGCTTGACTAGGAAGGGATGACTTAATGTTGACTTTAAATTGAATTGATTTTAAAATGGTGTTATTCGTGTATGGTTGTTTTTATTTTAAAGGCAGCTGATATTGGAATTTTGTGAGATTGATATTTCAAATAAAAAATCGTAATAGATCTAGAATAACTTCTTTTATGTGAAAAAATATTTAAATAAACAATATTTTAACGTGATTTATGAAAATCTAACATGAAAGCAAACACGTTGGCTTTTGGAAAATTCTCTCCACTCCTTGTTAGGTTTAATTCTCATATTAACGAATATAATTAGTATTTTAAGTTCCAAAAATATATAATGTACTTTCCTAACGTATTTTTATCTTTCTAATTAATTACTCATTTATTTTTACTATACAATACTTTATTTAACGATTGTCATAATCTTAAAAATACAAAGGATAATTTTAAAAAATATGTATACTGATTATTAGTTTTGCAAAAAGAAAAAAATAATTTAAAATACTTTATTTTCCTAAATTGTCTTGTAAATAATTGTTAAGATAACGTGGGCCGATGCCTTGTGAAAGAGGTTTAAGGCCTTCAGTGCTTGGCCCATTTGATTTCACAGTGCTTTCTTTACATCACTTCACAAACTCGTTGCCAAAAATCTCACTGATTTTTCGTCTTTCGCGGTCCCAACGAACCCTAGATCGGATCATGTCTGGAGCATACGGTCAAGACGGCGGCGGCTCTGCGCCACCGTCATATGGAGCCAGCGGCGGATACGGTTCCGGTGGTGGCAGTTATGGAGGCGGAACCTATGGAGGGGGCGGTGCCAGTGGAGGATATGGTGGTACGGAAGGCGGTGGAGGTTACGGAGCGAAAAGCAGCGGAAACGACGGCGGATACGGTGGTAACGATGGCGGGGGTTATGGAGGAAGGAGCGGCTACGGTGGAAACGATGGCGGAGGCTATGGAGGAAGAGGCGGTGGTCAAGGTGGCCGGGGAGGTGGAGGGTTCGGTGGTGGATATGGCGGTCGAGGTTCACTTTTGCTGCTTTTTATATCGTTCTAACTGTGAATTTATTTTTGCCCTATCGTGTTCATATGTGATGCGAAATTCTGCAGGTGGAGGTGGCGGTGGCGGTGGCGGTGGTGGATATCAAGGCGGTGATCGCGGGGGTCGTGGCGGCGGTCGCGGCGGAGGCGGCCGTGGCGGCAGCGGCAGAGATGGAGACTGGCGTTGCCCTAACCAAAGGTATTTGGTTTCTTACTGTTTAAATTTTGCTCTTGAAACCGATTCTCTTTTTAAATTAGATATAAAACTGTGAGAATTGACTGCTTTTGATTTCTTTGTTTGGTCATTTGATTCGGAATTGCTATTATGTGTAGTTGTGGGAATTTGAACTTTGCGAGAAGGGTTGAATGTAACAAATGCGGTGCTCCTTGTCCTAATCCGAATAGTTCCAATGAACGAGGTGGAAGTGGCGGAAGTGGTGGCGGTGGGGGTGGCTTTAGTAGAGGCGGAGGTGGCGGTGGGGGATATGGTAACACTCGAGGGGGAAGATCGGGGAATTATGATGGAGGGAGAGGTAATGACTATAACAGTGGAGGGGGTCGATCTGGTAACTATGATGGTGGAAGGGGTAATGACTATAATAGTGGAAGGGGTGGTAGTAATGATGGTAGAGGTGGTTCGTATAGAGGTAATCAAGGTAGAGAAGATGGTAGCTACGGTCAAGTTCCCGCTCCTAATGCCCAATCTTATGGTGGTGCTGGTGGAAGCTTCCCACCCTCTTACAATTCTTATGGTGGGAATGCAAGTTATGGAACTGATGCAGTTCCTCCACCTTCGAGTTATACTGGCGGACCTAATTCCTATCCTCCATCATATGGGGGTAATGCCGGTGGTTATGGGGGAGATAATCAAGGGAATGGGCGGAGTGGTGGTAGATCTGGGCCTCCGTCTGGGTATGACAATAGTCATGGTGCTGGTAATCGAGGTGGATTTAGTGGGTCTCCTGCCGAGCCCCCAGCTGCAGTAAAGCAGTGTGATGAGAATTGTGATGACAGCTGCGACAACTCTAGAATATACATCTCAAACCTTCCACCAGATGTGTCAATTGAAGAATTGAGGGAACTTTTTGGAGGCATTGGACAAGTAATATTATGATCTTTTTACTTTAGAGTTTTTCACAAGCTTTAGCTTTAATGAGTCATATTGCGAGTTTTGGTTGATGAATCTTATATATAATTAAATGGAATGCTACTTTCAGTGTAGACTCGTGTCTTTTTGATGCGTAAGCATATTGTTGAGTTATATTAGCAATAATGTTTTATACAAGAAATATTTCCTATCTTGTGAATAAGATTATTTTTCCTGACTATTCCTTGAAAGAGGCTTAATGTGTCAGTAATTTTGTCGCATGTTTTAACTATATAGGTTGGAAGGATAAAGCAGAAGAGGGGCTACAAAGATCAGTGGCCTTGGAACATTAAGATTTACACAGATGAGAATGGAAATAACAAGGGAGATGCTTGTCTTGCTTATGAAGACCCTTCTGCAGCACATTCAGCTGGCGGTTTTTACAATAGTACTTAATTGAACAATTTCATCATTTCTATCTTTACGTCTAGGTTATATATATATATATATATATATATATTTATGAACACACACGCACACGGTGTTTCACGTGTAAACATACACTAATAATGAATATTTCATTTCAGATTATGATTTGAGGGGTTACAAAATCAGTGTTGCAATGGCAGAAAAATCTGCTCCAAGAGCTGCACCTGCTTATAACCAAGGGTATGCATTACAGACTGAACTATTTTGGACTTCTATAAGAGTATTTGTCAATTATTTGCTATGTAAATTGTTTTGTTGATAAATTATTTTGGGAACTGTTCTGTAAATTTAGCAATTATGTGCTATTTATATTTTATTACACAACTGATCACTGTGTTTGTTTCTTTTTTCAAAAATTTATTTTTCTTCTGAAACTGAATATTCTGTAATTAATTGTTGTTCTATAGGGGCAATAGGGGTGGCTATGGTGGAGATAGACGCCGAGACAACTATAGAGATGGAGGTGGCTCTGGGCCTGATAGGCGTGATCATTATGGAAATCGTTCTCGTCCGTACTAGGAGCTTGGACATTGAACGTTTTATGTACTATGAATTGTGGGCTGAGGGTTTAATTATTTCAGTTGGCTGGTTTCTTGAACTGGAAGCAAAGAGGTAGGTTGTTCACTTACTTTGAGCAATACCTCTTCCGCTCCTTTTTTGTTTCAATTGTCTAGATGGTGGGTTTTGAATTTAGCCAGGGATTAATTTAATCATGTGAATGTTTTTATAGAGGCAAGTGGATAGTCTCCCAATTGCTTGCTGCTAAGGTAGGTGTTGAATATTTCAGGTGAGTGCAGCTTTCACGTAAAAATGTGCCTAATACTTGCTTGGAAATTCCTTGTGTCATAATGTGGATAAATGCTTGCAGTTCTGGCTCATCCCATGTGGCATCTGTGGTACAAGCGGGTGTTGGCATTAATTAATAGAATGTTTTTATGTTAGTCATTGTTCCATAAATCAATAAATCTTAATTTACAATGTTTCAAGTTTCAAGTAAAAATGGTTGTTTGTAAGGAATGAATTAAATTGTGCTGACATTTTACTTTAAATTGAAGCCTTTTGTAATCAAATCTATCATGAGTTATTCTATCGTAGTCTGTTTGATCTTTTGAGGCTTTATGAAGTCTTGTATTTTTCGTTGTTTACATGCAACTTTTCAGGAGTTTTTATTTAACTGTTTTAATTGACATCCAAGCAACTCAAGGTAAAGCCAAGCCTTTGAAGCTAATATTTAACATCTGAAAAACCACACTTTTGATGAAATTTTTCAATGTGTAGAGTTGCAAAGCTGTTGCATTTTCTATGGATACAGCCGATCAAGTTTTTCAATCTAGGTTTTTTAAATATTTTTTGGAGATTAATTAGGTGAAATAGTTCCATATATTCTTATATGATTAAGTAGATCATGAGCTTGTATTAATAGCATATAGATGTGAAAATGGACTCTTGCATATACTTTGTCTGATGTAAATAATGCAGAAGCCATTCGTGTTTAGTCTTGAATCCTGTTTAGCTATCTTATGGTTTGCATTCTTATTTTATATTTTTTGCTTTTGCACTGGTTTTGTCTGTTTGTAACTGTAATTTACCGAATAGCCAATAGGGAAGTCAAGTATCTTTTGGACTTCATTATACGGCATGTGTTGCTTTTGGCAAGCTAACTATTGGAGTCCGCGCACTTCACAGTTGCATTCCTCTGCCACTTATTCTCCGCAATTCAAGTTTGTTTCTACTTTTACCTGATAAAATTAGTACAGTTTTAATGTACACACATCTATATTCGGTGGCATTTGCATATTTGGTACTTGCGAGCAGAACTTTCTTCCCTGGGCCTGTGTGGGTGACAAGTGTCGTTGCTTCTAAACCGTGCTTGTTCATTTAGTTCCTTATCAACGGATGCTATATAATTCAAATGTACTTTGACCCCCAGTGTAGATTGTGGCCTGTTTGATTTGTCGGTTGTGAACTTTTGTTTCCCCAGTTATTAGAATACCCCTTCCTTTCTGACTGTTATTCCGAATTTTGGGTTCTCTGTTTTTGAAGTGATCATCGGCGTTGTAATATTTTTCAGATAATTTGGTCGATAACGGTCTTTATCAAAAACCTGGAATCGGACGGCATGTTTTTATTTTAACTAAAATATAGTCATTTGCGTACTGCATTTGCGGGAGGATCGGTTTTTAAATGAATGCATTCGTATGACAGCACTTGGTTATGGATATGTTAAGGCCGGTTCCGTAGTAAGACTTTTGTGCTGTTGTCAGATAAACGATGCAAGTGGTGAAGTCCCATTTTTGTTAATGGTGCATAATTTTAATGTTTTGAATAATATGGGGTGGATATATAATTTAGATAAATTGTTATTTTCTGAGATAATAATTCACCAGAAATTGTGAAGTGCTGGCATGGTTTACCGAACAAAACAGTGCTAGAATGTCTACTATAGAAGTCAATTTTGTTTAGAAACGTTATAAGTTGAATTAGCAAAATCCACTCCGAAACTGTTGTGTCGAAATTAAACGCGATAGTTCGATAATCAACTTTATTTTGTTGTCCCAAATAGATCTGAATTCGTTTGTGTTGAAAAACTAACCTCTGAATACGGGAGCAAAGTAACTTATTTTAAATTCTAAATGAAAGTAGTGAAGGATGCCAGAATAAGTAGAGAAAAGGAGCTTACAAAAGGAATTATTTAGAATAAATTCGCATGAAGGGATGCACGATCTTAATGTTACCCCAACCCAAGGCATAGTATTAGTATTACGATTTTACAAATAGGGACACACAATTCCTAGATAGGTTTCAACAATCATCAATATTTCACATTCTTAACCTTTAAACAAATAAATGATCAAATTCATCTTATATGTATTGAATGATTTATCATAATCTCCTCCGATCCCCGTCGCGATGTATATGTTATAAACCTATTAAATTTTACAAACTTCCGTAACCATGACCCATGGTTTTAGTCTAAATTAGTGAAAAATGTACTTTAAAAATTAAAATCTTAAATTGGAGCAAGAGACCAACTTATCGTTATCATTGCGTCCTACATCAGGTCAATAACTTTAAAGGAGCTAGCTACACAAATACAATAACAAATGGGAAAATGATACTTGAACAACCATTTTTGACAACATTTAAACACGCGCACACGTGTCAAAATCTGAGTGGTCCATTTTCATTTAATTTTTCCAACTGGACCATTCAGATTTTGATACGTGTGCGCGTGTCTAAATGTTGTCAAAAATGGTTGTTCAAGTGTCATTTTCCTAACAAATGTTCTCTAGAATAAATTGTATGAATTTCAGTCTTTATTGAATAAATTATACTCTGAATTTTATTTTTGAATAAATTTTAATGGTAAAAAGGTGTGTTAGTCACACTCCATTTTTTTATACTCAAACCTATACCGTTTTAAAATTTCAAAGTTGAATCCAGTTCGAAAGACGTTGCCTTGACCGCCAAATATCCCTACCTCCCGCGCAATGTCACATTCTGACGAGCAGCTCTCCTTTCTTCGCTCTCTAATCCATGGCAGAAGGTTCTCTTTCTCTTGCTCTCTGTCTGTGTATCTGTCCAGTCATCTAACATTTCATTTAATTTTTGGCAGTTTCAGCGATGAAACCATCAGATTTCTCGAATCGCTTTTAGTCTCCAAGGACGTGAAATCATTCATCGAAGTTCGCTCCAGCTTGACGGACTTCCTCAGATCTGAATCTCTCTCCGTTATTCGCTCCATTGCCTCTAAAACCGTCCACGAGAAGCTTCTCGTTCTCGAATTCTTCGTCCGCGCTTTCGCTCTCGTCGGAGATCAACAGGTTCTCTTACCGCTTCTCAGTTTCATAATGTTCTATTAAAAAAAACGCTGTCTCGTTCCATTCCCGTGAATTTTATCTTCTGTAGTTTTCTATTAAATCTCAAAAACATCAAACAACAACAATTAATACTTTCGAAAGACGTGCCGATTTACTTAGTTGCCATGAAACTACTCGAGCTAAGTTTTTTTTTTTTTTCTCTCTCTCTCGTGCGTTTTCGATTTCATTTATCCAAGAGTTGTTTGGCATTGAGATACGAGGCTTTAGTAATGCGGGAACTCAAGTCCGCTAGTTGTCGGTGGCTGCAAGTTTTGCCTGAGGAATGGTTAAGATTTGTGGAGGACGCGGTGCGCAACGGTTTCCACGCCGTTGCAGAGAAGGTACGAGTGATACTTATTAGTGATATTTTAAGTGTATATTAGAATCTTCGACATGAGACATGGCTAATGCTTTCTTAAAAACAAAAAATAGTAGAGTTTTGATTGCATGATATAAAATTGTACTTATACATTTGTATTGTTGAACCATGGCTAAGGGTTTGTTGTGTAAGTAATTAGGATTTCATGAAGATGCTTAAACAGATTTAGAATCTATTTGGATAATTTTTTCTTTAATCAATTATAAGTTTGTAGAAGTACATGTGGCAAAGTTTTTCTGAACATAGCGTTCAGAGAATTTAGTTTTGTCGGTGTGCTTAATGTCTGCTTGGCGATTAGGCATGTGAAAATGCTTTGTCGTGCCTTGAGAATAACGATGATCATAAGCCTGGAGGAGACATGGTTTCTAAAAACTTGAAGAGTATTATCAGTGAGATTACAAGACTCAGGAATTGTGCAATGACTTCGGTTTCTTCACGATCTGGTATCTCCTCACTCATCCATTAATTGATTTCATTGAGCGTTCTTATGATTATTAATGTTCTTTTAAACATATGTCCATCCCTTATTTTCAGCTTCTCCTCTTTGGCACAGTTTTTAATTATTTGAACTAAAGATTTTGGTTGCAATAAGTAGCCAAAATTCTCTAGAATTGTGCAGCATATTTGGTTCTCTTCTGTCGTGTTTGGTAAAATGCCCAGGTTTTCTAAGTTATCTTTTAGGAAAATGATACTTGAACAACCATTTTTGACAACATTTAGATACGCGCACACGTGTCTAAATTTGAGTGGTCCAGTTGGAAAAATTAAATGAAAATGGACCACTCAAATTTAGACACGTGTGCACGTATCTAAATGTTGTCAAAAATGGTTGTTCAAGTGTCATTTTCGTATCTTTTATCCCGAGATTTGCTTTGTGATAGGAGTTTGCACTTTGGTTACCTCGTGTACACTATTGATGATTTGACATCTTACCGTCCCAAGAGCATAGGATATCTCTTGTTCCCAAATTTCTCTCATGTTTTCTATCATTTATTTCTAATACTGTAAATAGGCTGAAGAATGTATTTTGGTTCAAGTTTCTAGACTTTTCGTATTTGGTTAATCTGATGTTACTTGCTTTTTTGTTGGGAGAGTTTGAAAGATTTACAACAAAAACAAATCTTTTTATTTATTAATAAAACAATTTTTATTAGAATATATCATCATTTTATTTAAAATTTATTTTCTAAGTTCTTCGAAGTTTTTTTTTTAGATGTTTTTCTTATAAGTCTAAAGTAATTAGTACTAAGAAAAATTTATTCCTTTTTTTCTTAGAGTTATAAAGGAAGGGCTTTACCTGTTTTGTCATTTAACCGGCTCAATTTGTATTCTATTCGTAACTGCAAAATGGTGTTTTATTCCTATTCTTATTTATTTGTGCTTGTGAAGACCGAAGACGAGCCTTATTTATAATGTCATGTCATGCACTTCTTTATATGGGTATATAGGATACTGTATATGTTATTGCCATGGACATTGATATGTAAAGTGGATTTTCATATGCTTTTCCGAATGGATTTTTGCTTCATGGGTAGTCATTTATTCACTGTTAGTGCTGCTTCGTGATATTAGTTCAGGTTCAGACAGCAGAGTACCTAAAAAGGAAAACAACAGAGCAGAAGTCGGACTTACCCAACAAACAAAAACGATGTCTAGCAAGCACTTCTTTCAGAAATGGAATTAAGAGACAGAATATACGGAAGTTACATGAACACCAAAGTCTCCTACTGGTCAGCGAGCATCCGAATTTGAGGTCAAATGATCAATTTGACTGACGTCTTTTCAGTGAACTTATTCAACGCCTAAGCACATAAAGTTTTTTCAATTTCATTCCTTCCATCTGTTTGTTAAATCTTGGTTAGTTTCTGGTGATTTTAGTTTTTA